GGATAAACCACAGAGGACTTTGTGATAGCATGTACAGGAATGCTTGCTTTGTAAAAGAAGTCGTGGAAGGCTTTGCAAAGAAAATAATGAGAGGGATGGAAAAAGGCTTAAAGAGGAAGAATTCATCCAACAGCATATCCTGGGGCATTAAATAGCTGCTGAAAAGAGGCTGTGGAGTTCTCAGGTTCATTCTTTGCATGTAATAATGTGACGTGTTGGTTACCTGCTGAGTGATACCACGCACATACGGAGAGCACAGTTTCCACTGGAATTAAGATCCCTCGGGGCTTTGCGTGTGCTGAAACATCTTTGAAATGCACAAGAAACTCATTTCAAGGGATCAGCTTGTTAAAAAAAAAAATAGATAATGTTCACAGAGAGGATGGCTGTGATAATAACCAGAAGTAAAACTCGGGACTGATGTAGAGTTGGGTGGTTTTTAAAGCGGATTTCCACAAAAGCCAACTGCGAGCAATTATAATTATACAAGGGGCATTTGGTGTGACATCTTTTAGAGTTGTATTAGTCCTAAGGTAAAATCAATTCATTTGTCTCTTAAAAGAGAGCCCATCTCCAGAAAGGTTGTCTTTTTTAATTTACCATCTATTTTTAAGCCATTTTTGTGTGTATTGGCCCCTGCTCGATATCCCTGTCTCTGGGATTATCTCTCACAATAAGCTGCCATAGGGAGCATGACAAAAAGTGTTTTCAAAGAGCATTCTCTTTTGCTCAGAAATTGCAATGGCATTAACTTTGCCAAAGGAAAGAGTAAATAATACTTGTTTTTGTTTAACTTGAGGGATTTTTCCAGTGCTGACTTGACTTGTCCTTTTAGTCTGTGTGACTAAATACATTGTGCCTCCTCTCCACTGAACGTGAATGTGTGCACACCATCTGATAAAGCAATGGCATTCACTGCTGTTCATTTTTAAACTAATTGGTTTTTACCTTCCTTCACATAAATTACCTGAATTTGTCACCCAGGAGATAAACCTTGTTTATTCCCTCTGTACTGAAGGTTTGGCTCCAATAAGTAATGAAACGTTGTTTAGCAGATGGAACTCAAGAGTTTTGAAATAGATACATATGTGTACACAGAGGTAACTTATTAAATTAATTTAAAAGAGATAATTCTAATTATGCTAGCAATATTTTGAATATCTGAACTGACAAAATCAGGGCTCTGAAACGGGGTTGTTGCTACTTCAGAAGTACCACAGACAGGCAAAATAGTGTAAACAGCTCTGTAACTTGTCAGTGAAACCAGATCTTACGTTTCCAGAGTGTTTTTCTATGCCCACAGCCAAACACACGTTGACAAATTGCAATTTTTGAAAAGATAAGTGTGAGGAAAGCAGAGTATTTGAAATAGCCATGGCAATACAGTGAAGAGCTGCAAATGCCCCTTCTCAGCTTTATCTTCTTGCTCAGAGAACTGGAACACAACCGTCCTTGTTTCTGAGATGGTGCTTTGTCACGTACTTACAAATAGGTTCTAATCTGTGTTTGCAGCCCTAGCCCTTACAAAACCTATAGAGTGTAGGTCTGCATTTTTGTACTGTGACCATCTCTAAAAACGGTCCATTCTGCAATGTTACACAGAAGAATGTGCATTAGGAAGGAGAATTTGAACACAGCGAGAAATATTACAGCAGCATGTGGCACAGTGTGCTTTCAACTGCATGTATTAGCATGTCAGCAAGTAGTTCTTGCACAGAATCAGTCTCAGTCACAAGAAATGATAAATTCCACTTGTTCTGTTTGTTACTATGCCTCAAATTTTGGAGGATGACTTTGACAGGTGTGTATTCTAGAAACACAGAACTAGCATTGCATCATTATTCTATCTCTTAGATAGAGATAGATAGCTAGAATAGATAGATAGATAGCATAGATAGCATAGATAGAATAGATAGAATAGATAGCAGAGCAGATGTGTGACCACTGCAGGACAGGCGTCTGTGATAGGTGAGTTAAGAGACAGCAATGAATGGACTAACCTTGAGTGTGGGGCTGCAGAACTATCATCCTCCTCTGATGTCTGATACATGGAAAAAGGGAGAAAAACTGATCCTGTGGCCCCTGAGGAATCGCTCAATGCCAGGAGCTTGCTTTGTTTGGATACAGCAGTTTTTGGATCTGGATGGAAGAGCGGATGGGGTGTCACATCCTTTCCTTCATCATCAAAAACCTGAAGAAATATTTAAATAATGATAGCAATGTCACTGTCTTCTCAAAGCAAATGGCAGTCATGAGACATGCAACATTTTGTCTTATCTTGAACCAAAAGAAGACCCCGATCCAGGCAGCACACAGAGTTATTCACCCTCCTTGACAGAACAGGCATCCCTGTTGTGCAAATGGTGCCTAATATACACCACCAGTGTGAGCAAAGAGGGGCCGATCCCCACTTTCCCTTTAGGATTCAGACTTTAAAAGATTCTCATCTGTGCTTGGGTCTTCTTTGGAGCTGTCTTTACAGAAATGATGCAACATATCTGAAAAGATCTGTGACCATCCCTCTATCTGAGACACTTCCTCTTGTTCATCCCTGTTCTCTTTCCTGACTTACTTATCCTATGACTACCAAGAGTGCCTCATTGACCATAACAATTACTATCAAATTAACAGGACAGCAAAAGCAACCAGAGAAACAGCCATGTGTCTTTTTTGTATGATACTGCCCAAAATGTCATTTTACTCTAAGAAGACATTCAGTATGGTTTTTAAACAGAACTCTGAGCTAATGTTATGAGAATCTTCTGTTTGTCAGGTAAAGGCATGCAAATGCTACAGCCAACATCTCATTTAGATTTGAAAGCAAGTAGTTCTTAAATTAGGAGCACTGTTACCTTAAATTGCTTACCTTCAAATCAACACATTCTAAATTGTGAAGAAGAACATTATTACTGTGCCCAGACAATTTTTTTTTTCAAATAACTTACTTTAAAATTGTGTTTTTCTTAACTCAAGTGGAAGGTATGGTTGGCTTATCTCACTAACTTCTGGAAGGCTCTCAAGACAGGCGCTCACCCCACAGAAACAGAAGAAAAACACCACTACTAAAAAGTAAAAAAAAAAAAAGCAAACCAAGGCAAACTGTGTCAGTCTGTGGGTTTTTAAACCATGGAGAAACAAGTGTGCCTAACCGCTTTGTTTTTATTCTTGTAGATCAGTTTTGGACATTGATGCTGTGGGTGTCCCTGTTCATGGCAGAGAAGTGGGACCAAATGGCCTTTAAAGGCACCTTCCAACTCAAACATTTCTGTGATTCTACGCTCGTCATTTCAGTCTGGACTGAGCTCTTGGATCTTCTTCCTTCTCCACAGCTCTTTAGTTCCAGCTGCACCTCTGCTTTCCTCTTCTCTCTCCTCACAGCTTTTAGACTCCACAGAAAACTCCCACTGGAAGTGTTATGCAGCCTCTCACCCTCACATCATGCTGTCTGTGCTCCTGGGCCGCCTTCTGCACAGCTGTGCCCGTGGAGGTGGGGACGTGGCTGTGGCCTGAGATGCTCGCCTGCTTTCGGCTGCCAAAGGTGATCCTCAATTTTTGTCTCACTCTGAAACCAGAAGTGGTTTCAAATCACAAAATACAATCAACCGAATACAATGAACAAAAACTACCTATTCTTTAATTTTCATTTAAAATGGAATTCTTCTCTATCATCGTTCAGGATGATACAGTAAAGGGACACGAAACAGCAAAGGAATAATGTAGCTCCTTCAGAAGGTCTCCACTTGGCTTCTAAGGAGGCTTTTTCAGTGGTGGACAGGGCTGGGGGAAACTACGGTAAAGCAGAAGTGTCAAAGGCGTTATGCTGCAGTCTGGGGCTGAAATAGCAAACGGGAACCGAGGAGCAGCTGAGACCCGTCCCGAGATCTCTCCTCCGGGGCTCCGCGGCCGCGCACTCACACAGATAACCGCCGCGCTGCGTCCGGGCCCGGCATGGCGGCGCTGATCGGAGGGGGCAGCGCGTCGCGCGGTAACCACGGCAACGCGCCCCAAAGACGCGGCGCGGAGATTGGCTGCCAAGAACGGCGCTGCCGATTGGTCCCCTCTCTCCCGCTCTCCTCGCGCCCGCTCGCCCTGAGGGGAGAGAGCCGCGTTGCGGCCCTCCCGTCCCCGGGGTTCTCTCCGTGCCCGGCGGGCCTGGGCCTACGGGCCGCCCCTTGCCCACCCCGGGGCTCCTCCCTGCCGGCAGGGCCGCGGCAGCGCCGGTCCCCGCTTTGTCACTGAAGCACAAAGGTTCTCGGCGGCCCGGGGAGGCGCCGGTTCCCTCCGCCCCTGAGGCGGGGAGCGGGGCCGGGGTTTGTGGGGCTTTCAGTCAGCGAAGCTGCACGCGGCGGTGATCTTAGCGTCGCCCCGCGGGGCCTCTCCCGAAGCGTCGAGCCAGAATGCAGCGTCCCCGCCTCTGTCAGTGGCTGTGACGCCGGTTCGTACCCGCAGCCTCTGCGCCCTTGCGCGGCCCCGTGGGGCAGAGCTGCAGCCGCACGGGGATGGCTTTAGGGACAGCAGCATTAGGACGCGCTTTGTGTTTTGTTTCCCTTTCCGTAGGACCACCGCAGCGTCGCGCACGGCGCCGCTCCCCAGGACCGCGGTGGGACGACGCCTTCCGCGCCCCAACGTGAGTAACGCCGGCGGGAGCGCGATTTGCTCGATGCAGACCAACACCCGGACCGTTTGGGCCCCGTGGGCGGCACCGAGCGGTTCCGCCTACCGATAAGACCCGGCGCCTTGCCGTACCGCTCCGCCGCCGCGAAGGTGCGGCGCTGACGGGACGGGCCGAGGGGGCGGGGCCTGGCGGAGTGATTGACGGTCGAGCCGAGCGCGCGTGCGACTGCCCCGCCTCGCCCGGCCCGGCCCCTCCGCCGCCCGTGCGCGGTGACGCAGCGCGGCGCACCGCCCGGCTCCGCCCTTGCCCCGCCCTCCCGCCGCTCCCCGCCGCCGCGCAGCCCGCGACCCTCCGCCGCCGTTTCCTCCGCCGCCGCGGCGGCGATGTGACCCCTCCCCGGCCCGGCCCCCGCCCTCCCTCCCGCGCAGCGAACATGGCGGAGGTGAGAGCTCGGCGGCGGAGGGGCGGGGGCCGGGCCGGGGAACTTGTTGCGCGGGGCCGCGGCCGGGCGGAGCGTCCCGCAAGTTACTTGTGGGGCCGGGAGCAGGCCGCGACGCACTGAGCCCGGCGTCCGCAGCCGAACCCCGCGCGGCCCGGCACGCCTCGGCGGCGGGGAGGGGGGAGCTGGGAGCGAGCGGCGCCTCCCGCCCCGGGGCCGCCCCGCGAGGCGGTCGCCGCCCGCGTTAGGCTGTGCCGGGGGGGTCGGAGCCG